TTTTATTAGTTTGTGTGTGTGATATATGTGGAGGCACATGTGCCCACAGTGCATAAGTAGAGGTCACAGAACAACTTTTAGGAGTTCGTTCTGCCCATGGATTCTGGTGACTGAACTCAGATTCAGGCTTGCTTAGCAAGCACTTTTATCTGCTGAGTCATCTTGGCAGCCTACATGGTATTCTCTAAGAATCTATAGTCTGCTGGGGGGAAAAGACAAATGACAGAGTGCACTATGATAATGTTCCATGTTACCTCGATGGCATGAGCCAACCTGGAGCGGACAGAGAAGACTGGAGATATGGCTTTGGTAAAGCACTTGCCTTGCAGGCCTACCTGAGCTCAGATCTCCAGAGTCCGCATTAAAAAGCCAGATGTGGGGGTTGGAGAGGTGGCTCAGCGGTTAAGAGCACTGGCTGTTCTTGCAGAAGACCTGGATTTGAATCCCAGCACCCACATGACAGCTAACAACTGTCCGTAATTCCAGTTCCAGGGGACCTGACAGCCTCTTCTGTCCTCCGCAGGCATTGCACGACATGGGTACACTTACCTACATGCAGGCAATACATGCATACACTTAAAAATAAAAATTAAAAAAATTAAAAAAAAAAGCCAGGTGTGTTTCTTTCCGTAACCCCTTGGGTATAGTCATTCCTTTCTTCAACTCTTTGTATTGCTTCAAGAATTCTCTGAAGGGCTGGTTTTGTGGACATGAATTCTTTCAGCCTATTTATGTTGTGGAAGATTTCACATTTTATTTATTTTGATTTTTTAAAAAAATCCTTCTGTATGGAAATAATAGAATTAGGATATAAATATATTGTTAACTGAGACAAAAGTCAGAAAATTATAGCCTATAGTGTGGTCCTTAAAATAGGAATGATTGAGGCTGGAGAGAGAACTCCGTAGTTAAGAGCACTGGCTGCTCTTACAGAGGGCCGGAGTTCAATTCCCAGCACCTACATGGTGGCTAACAACTGTTTATAACTCCAGTTTCAGGGGATCTGGCACCCTCCATGGGCATTGCATGACATGGGTGCACCCACCCACATGCAGGCAATACATTAATACACATAAAATAAAAAATAAGCCAAGCATGGTGGTGCAGGCCTTTAATTCCAGCACTCTGGAGGCAGAAGCAGGTGGATCTCTGTGAGTTCAAGGCCAACCTGGTCTACAATAGTGAATTCCAGGTCAGCCGGGCTAGAAGGAAACCCTGTCTCAAAAAATAAAATAAATAATAACCTATTTTTAAAAAGGAATGATTTTTGCATTCTTAAGAATAAAGAATATAGCCAGGTGTGGTGGTGCACCCCTTTAATCCTAGCCCTCAAGAGGTAGAGGCAGGCGATCTCTGTGAGTCTGAGCCCAGCGTGGTCTACAAAGTGAGTTTTGGGCCATCTGGGGCTACAGGGAAACCCTATCCCAGAAAATCTTAAAAAATAAAAAAATAAAGAATAGGCAGCAGAGTATATATATATAACTTACCAACTGACTTTTTAAAATCACCTTCTTTTTCTTCCCTCCTTCCCTTCCTTCCTCCTCTTCATTTTTGTGGTGCTGGGATCAAGCACATGTTCTCATGTATGCTAGGTGAGTGCTTTACTGCTGAGCTATATCCTCAGCCCTATGGTGCTCCTTTTAGTTTTAAGTGCCTCAGCTTGGGAAGAAAACCTGGCATAGGCATGCAGTGCAATGGTACTCTACAGTGTAAAGGAGTGGTCTTGGCAACAATATTGATGGAGTGTACATTTTGCTCATGAAAGAAGTTGGAGCCAAAAGCTTATCTGTTGCATATTTCCAATTGTTTGACATTCTGGAAGTATAAAATTATAGGGAAGGAACCAGATTGGTCTTTGTCCCAAGTTGAAGGGATGGATAGAGTTTGGCTATAAATGGGCTGCATAAGATAATTTGGAGATGCACAACAGTCCGTGTAACTCTGTGGTGGAAGATACATAGCTATGTATTTGTAATAATCCATTAAAGAGTATTCCATAAAAAAATGAGTTTTATTCATGTTACAAGGTTCATTTCTAAGTTTTGACAAAATGTTCTGGTTCTGTAAGATGGTGATAAGAAAACTGAGTAAAGGGTGTACAGAAACTCCTTACAGTTCTGCTGAGTCTGAAATGGTCTTTAAAAAAAAATCCCTCAGCTAGGGTCTCAATGGTTAAGAGTTCTAGCTACACTTCTGAAGGACCCAGGTTGGGTTCCCAGCACCCACATGGTGGCTAACAACCATCTACAATTCTAGTTTCAGGGGATCCAACACCCTCTTCCGACCTCTGTGCTCATTGCGTGCATGTGGTGCGCACTTACATACATGCAGGCAAAACACTCATGACCATAAAAAAGAAAGTAAAATAAATGCCTCACTTAATTAATTGTCCCATTGGGGTCACATAATTTTTACTTTTTGATCATCAGTAGGTTATAAATTCATTTCAAGTGGAAACCAGTGCTCTATTTTCAGTGCCCCGAAAAGTCTGTGCTTTAGCTTTTGTGTTTCTGCAGGATTCTGGATCAGAAGGAAGATGGCTGTGTGGTAGATATGCATCACTTTAACTCTGGGGCACAGTCCATTCTTGCCTATGCTACTGTGAATGGCTCTCTGGTTGGCTGGGACCTCAGGTCTTCAAGCGATGCATGGACATTAAAACATGACTTAAAGGCAGGTCTCATCACTTCCTTTGCTGTGGACATCCACCAGTGCTGGCTCTGCATAGGTAAGCCATCAGCTGGGTTTGTACTGCCAGTGCCTACAACTGTTGTAGAAAAGCTGGCTTTTCCTTTTTTCTTCACTGGTGATTCCCCCCTGCCCCCCCCCATCTCCTTTATTTTCATAACTACTATGTTACAATTTCGTACAATTTAGTTTTCATTACAAGGCATTTGTGGGCTTAGAAAGTAGCTTAGTGAGAGTGCTCGCCTAGTATCCCTAAGCCCTGGGTTCACTGTCTGGCACCACCCACACAGCTGGATAAAGGCTCGTTTGAGCAGGATGTGGTGGTGCGTCCTTGCAGCTCCAGTGTTTGGTAGGTAAAGGCAGGAAGGAGGATCAGTAGTTCAAGGGAAGCACAGCTACTGAGGGAGTTCAGGGCTAGCTTGTGGTACATGAGACCCTATCTCAAAACACCACAAACAAAACCATTCCTTGAAAGGGTGAAATCAGGATCATAAAGCATAGAACCATTTCCTTTTGTTCTCAAATGAACCCTCTGCTTTGCAATCACTAATTGCAGCCATTAAAGTTGCCAGTGTTCCCATATTCTATTGGGGAAGTAGCAGGCTTAAGGAAAACAGCATTTGAGCTTAGGCCAACAGTTTTAAATTCCAGTAACTTCAGGCAAGCTACTTAGCTGTAAGTCTCAGTATCTTCATCTTCTAACGGGACTAATTCCTTCAAGGGCTGCTTTGAAGAGTTAATGAGCTGACAGCATCTGTCCTGGGGCCTGTGGAAGAGCCAGACCATGCATTTTGCTTTGCCACACTGTCTCCTGTTCCCTGTTCCCCAAAGAGTGAAGAGGTGTACTCACTTTCTTCACATTTTTTTGTTGTTTTGGTTTTTAAAGTGTTTCTGAGTTCTAAAAGTTATATCTTCTAGTGTGACCCTTACCACAAACAGAATACAAGTAATTCTTCAGAAAATTGCCTTCTGTCAACCTTTAACAAATTTTCCTTTCTAAAAATTAGTTTTAATATTTTTACTTTTTGAGAATTTCATACACACATACAATGCATTTTGATTATATTCACTCCTCTTTCCCTAACTCTTCCCAGGCCTATCTTTCCTCCCAAATTCTTGTCCTTTTTTTTTTTTTTTTTTTTAAAAACCCACTGATTCAAATTTGTGCTGCTCATAGGGGAGACATCCACTGGAGCATGGTTGACCCACCAGGAGCCACACCCCTAAAGAAACAGACTCTTCTTCTCTAGTGGACACCAACTGTTAATAGCTTCTCAGGAGTGGGGGATTCCCAGCCCCTCCCCCTTCCATGATGGAATGTTGACTGGCTTATCTTAAGAGGTACTATTCAGGCAACCCACAGCTACTGTGAGTTCATGAGTATAGCATCCTGTTGTGTCCAGAAGACAGCGTTTCACCTTGGTACCTCCCTGACCCCTGGCTCTTAGGATTTGCACCCTTCTCCCATGATGTTCCCTGAACCTCAGGAGGAGAGGTTGTGATGATGTAGATATTCCATTTATGGCTGACAACTCATAGATACTTACTCTCTGAACTTTGACCAGTTTTGAGTTTCTGTGTTAGCTGCCATCTACCTCATAAAGAAGCTTCTCTGATGCTTCTCTGCACTAAACTATGGATATAGAGATGCAATATTAGAGGGCAGTTTGGTACTATGTCCACTTAACAAAATAATAGTAGAATAATAGTAGGTTCACCCCTGGGTCCTATGAGTTCCTTAGCCATGAGTTCCTGGTTAGGTTCACAGTAGAGGCATGCATTTCCTCCTGTGGAGTAGGCCTTAAATCCTGTCAGAAAGTGGTTGGTTATCTCCATAAACATTTGTGTCCCCATTGCACCCATGTGGCATGTCTTGCCAGGCTGGCTATTATTGTAGCTAATAAGGGTCACAACTGGGTTAGACTGTTGATGGCTTTTCTCTCCTAGCACTCTGCATAGCACCTTCTAGTACTATGGAAGCTAGCCAGCAAGGAGGAAACTTCCCAGTCACTACTAGCTTGATTTCTCATGTCCTATGAGCAAAGTGTGGTGTCTTCAGCAATAGGGTCTTTCCATCGATTCTGGTGGGCAGCCAAGCACAGTGACAGTAGCCTGTATTGTTTGGGGAGTCTCTCAGATACTCAACAATACAATGTACCTGACTCTGAGCTTTTATTGGCAAGCTATGGCTTCTGTGATGAGCATTATCCCCTATGTAGGGTAACAAACTCTTTTATTTGAAATGTGTGTGTGTACATATATATATATATATATATGAAACTTATAAAATAGGTTTCCATATGGCTTTTTCATGTTCTTAGTGTTAATTATCCTTCCCTACCCCCATTCTTTGTCCTACCCTCCCATCTTCCTCTCCACTTAAACCTCCCCATTATTTCCCTTTCCCCTTCATAACGCCTGTGTTCTATCTCTCTCTCTTAAGATCCCTGCCCCCATCCCTTTTTGGTTTCCTGGATTCTCAGGTACTCCAAGTTTAGCACACAGATCTGAAGATTTGACTCTAGTACCCACATGTGAGTGAGAATGAGAGCATGTGGTGTTTCTCCATCTGGATCTGGGCTATCTCACTCAGGGCTTTCTAGCTCCATCTGTTTACCTATAGATTTCATAATGTCTTATTTCTTTACAGCTGAATACAATCCATTGTATATAGTTACCACATTTTCATTATGCATTCATCAGCTGATGGACATCTAGACTGTTTCCATTTCCTAGCTGTTGTGACTAGAGCAGCAGTGAACATGGATGAGCAGGTGTTTCAGCAGGACAGGACATAGAGCCTTTTAGGTGTATGTCCACGAATGGTATAGTTGGGTCACATGGTACATCTATTTCCAGCTTTGCTCCTCCTTTTTAAAAGATTGTTTGTTTGTTTGTTTGTTTGTTTATTATTTATTTATTTATTTATCTGTATATATGTCACATAAGTGCAGATCCCTGTGGAGGCCAGAAGAGGGCATTAGATCGACTGGAACTGGAATTCCCAGCTGCCTAATATAGGTGCTGGGAACTGAACTCACATTCTTTGAAAGAGCAGAAGCATTCTTAACCGCTGAGCTATCTCTCCGCCCATTTCTAACTTTTTAAGGAACCTTTACACTGCTGACCATAGTGTCTGTACCGGTTTGCACTCCCACTAACAGTTAGCAAGGTTCCCCTTTCTCGCATCCTTGTCAGCATTTGTTGTCCTTTCCTTTACCCAATTTAAAACCACTCATCCAGCTTCTGCCGCACAGTCCAGAATGCCATAGACATGGAATCAATAGCATGCCTTTTTGTTTTTCACTAAGCAAAAAGTTTATGAGCCTTTTCCATTGTTTGTATGAGAGGAGTTTATTATTATTACTGAGTAATATTCCATTTTACAGACAAGTTGTGTGTCCATCCATTCTCTAGTTGATGGATGGTTGAGTTGTTTCTAGTTTGGGGCTTTTCTGAATAGATATACTGTGAACATTTGCAAATAGGTTTGTGTATAAGCATACATTCCCACTTTCTAGGTCACATACCCAGGAATGGAATTGTTGACTTTTAATTTTTAGTTTTAGTTGCAAATAATACTACTATGTATTTAGGAGATAGAGTGTGCTGCTTTGACATATGTTTATATTGTAGAATGATTTAACCAGGTAATTAGTAAATCTGTTTTCTCATATCTTGTGGTGAATGTATTAAAAAAACAGTACTTTTGAAATATACAATGCATTCTCGTTATAGTGACCATCCTGTACATCACTAAAGCTTATTCCTCTCTCCTGAGAAACTTATTACCTTTTGCCCATATCTCTCTCTTTCTCATCACTATTCTTCCCCTTTCCTTTATTTTAAAAAGTCACCCTTTTTAAATAATAA